CAAAGTTTGGACTGGATACTACAGGTACCGTTGAAACATTGAAAAGGCGACTAGTTACATTCTATCGCCAGGGAAAGGCTTCACCAGCACCGAGCACCATGGCAGGATTCAACTTTCCGACCAGTTCCGGCATGTATACGACGCAGGCAAATAGTACCGCTGCCCTTACTCAGACTAATACTGCTAATACTGGGGCACCAGGTACAACTCAGGTGCTTAATCCGCCGATACCGACTATAACTATTCACCAACCGCTGCCTTCTCCAGTCGCATCCGGGTCTCCGGGAATGGCACTGAAAGTACATAAATGGAATATCGATTTTAATGGACGAACCGACCCAGTGACATTTATAGAGAGGCTACAGGAAATTTGTGTCTCCCAGGGGAAACTGATAGACCGATTACTGCCGCATATTCCTGAGCTTTTGCAAGGTGACGTATCCCTATGATACCAAAATAACCGAGCTCACTGGAATACCTGGGACGAATTTCTGCAGGGTTTCCACAGTTTTTATTTTCTGATTAACTATGACGCAGACCTGGAGATCGAAATTAGCCGCTGGCTCCAACAGCCGAACAAGCCAACCCACCGGTATGCATCAAAACATTCTGCGGCTCAATCCAGCCATATCCCGGAAATATGACCAATAGAATTCGATGTGGCTATTTTGAGCGGCATAATATTACTACATGGGCTAGATCAGGGGTCAGAATGTCGGGACGGCCTGTTGCACTTGTCCGTTCGAAGTGCCCCATTTCCCGCTCATTGCTCTATTGAAATTTATGCGAAGACATTTTAATATTTATTCATGATAGAGATGAATGCGATAACACTACCCAAAAATAATCCAAAGAGCACATAATTTGCCATTCTTCAAAGATATTGCATTTGTTGACAGTACATTATCCTGCGATGCACTAAATCATTGTTTAACGTTTTTACAGATTACGTAACATCTTCATATTTTAGTAACAAGGACTAACTATAAATACAAGCTTATTTAGAAAATTAAAAAGGGGAAGGAAATTGTACAAAGACGAGTAGTCTTTGAAAAATTTAGAACTTAAATTTTCAATTACTAGGTATTCAGATTCTGCTAAATCTAAATTTATCAACCCCTTATATCCAAAATGGATATATTTTTCAATTCCTCTGTTTCAATCAAAAAACTTTCTCAACACTCGTCCAAATCAGATCGCCGCCTAAGAAGTTCCCCTTCAAAAAAATCATGTGTAGCATCGTATGTATAGTCTGTACAATCTCACTTCGACTAGTATAAAAACTAAATCCCGGCATAAGTCGGTTCTTTCTTTGTCAAACATGGGCGGCGTAATTTCAAGAAACACTACTAAAATAGCATTTTTTTTAAATCTGAACAAACCGAAAGGTGTGATAAAGGCTGTCTTATCTTGATAAGCAATAAACTAATCGAACAAACTAGAGTAGGTAATGCACTGCACTGTCTCTCACACCGACATTTGCCGAAGTTTGACCAAATTAAAGGCAGTACCTCGTTAATGGAACATTACATCAATTTGCTCAATCCTGACCCAATTAAACAGAGATACCGCCCTCAGAACCCTAGATGTTGGAGGATAGAATCATCGAACCATCTGACAGTCCCTGGAGTTCTCCCGACGTCATTGTGAAAGAAGGATGGGATACACCGTTTCTGCATTGACTTCCAAAAGGTAAATGCTGTTAGCCGAAGGATGCTCACCCTATCCCGTTTATTAATTCCATACTGGACAAACTAAGAAGGGCCCGATATATTTCTAGTATCGACCTTAAGCAAGGATACCGGCAGATTCCTCTTGCCAGGAAAAGTAAGCCTGTTACCGCTTTCACCGTATCAGGATTGGGTCTATACCAGTTTCGAGTAATGCCTTTTGGGTTACACTCCGCTCTTGCTACATTCCAGAGGTTAATGGACAGCATTATAGGCCCAGAACTAGATAGTTATTGCTTTGCATATCTTGATGACATTATAATCCTTGGCGAAACTTTTGAGGAACATCTGAACAATTCAACCGAACTTTTCCAACGTCTTCGAGCGGCTTTCCGACTAAAACCGAATAAATGTGAATTTGAAAAACGTTCCCTCTGATATCTGGGACACCTTGTCACTTCCGAAGGAATCCGAACCGATCCAGACAAAGTAGCGGCAATTCGAGAACTGCCATCTCCTACTAATATCCGTGGTTTACGACGCTGTATGGGAGTAGCGTCGTGGTATCGCCGATTTGTACAGAATTTTTCTCAAATAGTACGCCCACTGAACCGCCTACTTAAAAAAGGGCATCCGATGGACTTGGACCGATGTTGAACAAACGGCTTTTGATACTCTTAAAAACCACCTCACCAAAGACTGAATATTGGCTTGTCCCGATTTTTAGAAGCCATTCGTGCTGCAAACAGATGCATCCGATAATGGGTTAGGTCAGGCATTAATCCAACATAGTACCGATGGCGATCATGTCATTGCGTATGCAAGCCGTAGTTTGAATCCCGCGGAAAAGAAATTTTCCGTTACCGAGAAAGAAAGCCTGGCAATAGTGTGGGGTATTGAGAAAATGCGTCCCTATTTAGAAAGTTAAACCGTAACCTTCTACCGCAGTTACCGACCATCAAAGCCTGAAATGGCTACATTCCATGAAGAGTCCGGAAGATTAGCTCGATGGAGTATTTATCTCCAACAATTCGACTTCGAAATAAAATACCTAAAGGAGTGCTCAATAAAGTTGCCGATACGCTTTCCCGAGATCCGATTGATAGTTCCGACGTCGAGGAACTTGAACCGTGTAGCTGGTATAGAGCTAAAAAGGCCTCCGTGGAGAACAATCCTGCCGATTTTCCTGATTCCGTGGAAACTTTGCGTATCCAAAAGTGCCCGAATGTTTGTCCTGGAGGAAAATCATGACTCTCCTATGGCCGGACACCGAGGAATTGCTAAAACAACCGCAAGGATTTGTAGAAAGTATTATTGGCCGGGCATGAGGAGGGACATTGCTCGATATGTCAAAGCCTGCCAACGCTATAAGCCATCACAGCAGAAAACTCCAGGCAAAATGCAACCCTCCCCAAATTCGCAACCGTGGGAAAACGTTATCACTGATCTGATAGGACCACTACCCCGATCATCAAAGGGAAATAACTGGTTAGTTATGTTCCAGGACCGTTTCACAAAATGGGTAAAATGCCGGCCGATTAGACAAGCAACAGTCCGAGCCGTCAGTCAAGCACTTTTTGAGCAAATAGTCACTAAATTTGGATGTCTGCGAACCGTTCTAACCGACAATGGCACTCAATATACGGGTCGACCATATAAAGAGCTCTTACAGGAAATTAGTATTGCTCACCGCCTTACTCCAGTCTACAGGCCGCAGGCAAATCCTGTAGAACGTACAAACAAGACCATAAAGATTATGATTGCTCAATTTTGTGAAGAAAACCACCGTAAATGGGATGCACACCTGTCCGAATTGGTCTTGGCTCTGAACAGTTCAAAGCAGGATTCAACCGGATTTTCACCAGCTTTTCCGGGAGATGGACTTACCGAAGGCTTTATACCGTAGTTTCCGAACCGGAGGACGCCCTAGCCGAGCTATTACCTGCCCATGTGGTTACTCATTCCGATCGCTTGAAACGACTACAGGAAGTATACAAATTAATTCGATGATCCTTTCGGAAAGACCGAGCAAAAACAGCCTGCAACTCCCGTTGCCTCAAGCCTGTCCCGAGGGAAGGCCGAACCCGTTGGATCTACACCCCGTGTACCCTCAGAGGTGTTCAAACAACAATTCGATGACAAGTCGGAGACCCGACCTTCCTCTTTGAAAAGTCATCATCCGTTAGACGATGTGTACTTGCCCGTGAAAATGGATTTATGCTGGAGGTGCGGATACCCCGGACACCGCCAGGAATCCTGCACTGGCAAGCTGGTGAAATTCTGCTCGAGATGCGGTAGGGTGGGATACCTGTCCAAGGAATGCACTTGCGCGTGCGCGCCATCTCGACCATCCCCTTCGCGATTACCTCGATTCGATTTGCAAGGGAGGCAAACGACTCGCCCGCCTCGAGTCTCTGTTGGAATACAGTATTGTCAACACACTTTAAAATACCGTCCATGTCGTTTGTGTGGCTGCCCGTACGGCCAACGAAGTCATGAATAAAAAACCGTTACGTTACCGATACCGATAAGCTGGTGAGGTACCAGGAGGCCCCTGAGGGATTTACCTAAGCTTTTCCATTTCGTTTTCGTTATCCACCTCTATGTTAGCAGCTTCTTCATAAAAACTAGTTGAACTACGCTTTAGCCTTAGAATATCCTTATCCTTATGCTGAATTTCAGATTCAGGTTCAGTTATTACTAGCCTTAGGTCCTCAATTATACTGTTCCAAGGATCAGTCAATTGTCAATACAATCACGGGAACACCATATTACTTGGAAGTGATATTCCAGCAAAACTTTAAATTTACCAGTCATTACAGTCATATTATAAATAAGGCTTATACAGGGTGTCCCACCGGGAACCAAATCGATGTATATATAAAAAACTGTATGTAGAAAATTTTTGAAAATTTAACAGTACCTATATTAATCCGACCAAAATATTTTCAAGGTAGTGGCATTTCTGCTTATACCGGAAGAAGACGTCAACTTGCTTATTTCAAATGAGACACTCTGTATGTGATTGCATATTTGGATTCTACGTAAAATTTTGAGTAGATTTCATGTGATATACCCTATACCTAATTTCAACTTTTTTGGAAATATTGACAGTTGAAACCTAAACTTTGACAAGCTGTAAAACTGTATGTAAAACCTGAACGGTTAATTTTAGAGAAAAACCGATTTCACATTCCTATCTTAAATTTTTATAAACTATCATTTAACACCAGCTTTGAATTTGCTCCATGAATAAAATTTCCAGTTAAATTTAATCTCCGCTATGTTCAATAAAACTGCTTATCAAATTAGAAATAAAACACATGCATATTCCGGCTACATTGCTTTAATAATTTCACTAACAATTTTAAGTCAATCAACGCAAGTATCCACCAAGCACCTAGTCCGTATGACTTTCTGGTAGTATCTTCCAGATGATTTCCAAGTCCTGGTTCTGTTGGGACTGTCATGGTCTACCGAGATGAATCCAAATCTGTGACTGTAAATGTATAAGTAATAATTTAACATTTAGAATTTCAAAGCCTCAAAATCTCACGTATATCCAGCACCCCATCCAAAATTATCCATGAAACTCCATGCAGTATATCCTACAACGTTAACGCCATCTTCTAGAATGGCATCTAGCAAGTTGCTCAAGTATCCCTAAATTGAATACATTCTATGATGTATGTAAAATCTTTGAAACTAAAATTATTCTTACTTTATGATAACGGATTCTACTTTGATCATCAATTTCACCATGATCAGCCCAACCGTTTTCAGCGATAAATATTTCTTCGGGTGAATATTTTTCGTTGACATAGTTGACTAGCTTTCGGATTGACGATGGATAGTAAAACAGCCAGTCTGATGATGACGCTGGCCATGAAGGATCACTGAAAAAAAAATTTGCAGAAAATTTCCAAAATTACTAATAATAAATTACCAGTACACGTTGTTTCCGTTGTCGAAATTATAATTTGGGGTACCGATCTCGTAGTCTGGTAAGTATTCAACTAATTTACCAGTGTATCTAAACAATATGTATTGTGAATCATGTGACAACTGATGGTCTAAAAAAGACTTACATGTTAAGTCCAATATAATCATGAGTCCCATTAATATAATCTATTTCTTTTTGTGTAAATTCTGGCAACCTAGAAAATCCCAGCCCTTCGAGTTTGCTTCTGTTGGCTATTCTATCTTTCATAACTTGGGGCCAATCTCCGATGAAAACAGGGTTGGCAAACCAACCAAACTAGAATATTGTTCTTTTTTTTTGTTGTTGTATAAAGTGAGATATTTGGATCTTAGAATAACACGCTGTTTTTTTTTTAACTGCTAACATTGATATTATTAATCGCTTAAATCAAGTATGACTTACGCCAAATTGCATTTCTCTTTCAGCTGCTTCTCTATCCAAGTCACTATCACTTGCTGGTTCGTTCCATGGTGTGTCCAAGACGAAACCGATTTTTCCTTTGAATGAAAAGACCAGTAGTTATTGAAATTTCTTTCAATCATTTGCAATTAAGCATTAAAATTTGAAAAAAAAAAACTTATAGAAAAAAGCGAATGTTTGGATATGTTTCTACCTCCTTGGCTAGCTCGAAACTCATCATCATAAATATGCCAAGCCTTAGCATGGGCGAGAAGTTGAATCTTAGCACATTGATAGACACCATCGGCAACTAACCATAGTCCAGGGGCGCCATAGTCATTAGCATAGCCCAAAAGGCAAGCAGTTTTCGGTTCGTTCACTAATAAAAATAAAAAAAAAATTATTTTGAAGCATAGCAATGATCGTTTTCGAACCTGTCGTCCATTGTCTCACATAATCACCAAATAGTCTAAATGATAATCTTGCAAATTCGCCAAAATAATCGACTATTTGTGGATTTAGCCAACCACCAAGTTCACTCAAGTGCTGAGGTAAATCCCAATGGTAGAGGGTTACTAGAGGTTCGATATTATTTGCTTTAAGTTCCTATGTAAACATTATTATTGATATGAAAATTATTTGGAAATAAAAACTATTTACTTTAAGAAGATTCAAGTAATAATCTACACCAGCTTGATTGATTTTGTTAGTTGTTCCATCTGGAAGAATTCTGGGCCAAGAAATGGAGAATCTATTAAAGCATATCAATAATTTATTACTCATATTCTTTTGTACTTATGTGCTTTAAATTTTACCTATAAATTTTTACACCTAGTTCCTTCAACAGTTGAACATCTTCTCGCCATTTGTGATAGGAATCACATGCTACGTCGGCATTTCTTCTATCTAAAGTCTTACCTGAACCAATTAAATAATATTACAAAACACTTGATTAGATATATGTTTATACTTACTTGAATTGTTGTGCAAAAATCTATCCCACATACTTTCTCCTTTACCATCTTCGTTCCAGGCACCTTCAATCTGGAAGGCAGACGTTGCTACGCCAAATTTGAAGGATTCTGGAAAACGTCTATTGTTGATAACTTCATCTTGAGAGGAACTAAAAATTCAATATTTAATAATAGAAAAACTGTTTTTATTTTTGAACTTACATTAAAATTTCTGAAAAAACTAAAAAAGTCACTGAGAGGATCCTCATTTGAAAAAAAAAAAAAAAATTAAACTTCAAGTACCTACAAAGATGATAACTATTTGAAATTTTTATAGCAAATTGTTCAAGTGATCCACTATCACATTTTTCTTAACTTATCAGATACCAAACCATCAATCTATTAAGTGGTTCGAAATAAAGACATATTTCTCTAGAAGTAGAAGTGTGAGATTTTAAATTACGTTTGAGAATAAGTTCCTATAATATGTTCAAGAGTTTCATTATAAACGATATTTCAGAAACAATATAATGTCTCGAAAATCTGGCGGAAGCGCCAGGGTCTACATAATTGGACAGCTGAGCTGATTCTAGAAGTAATAAGTGTCGGAGTCTATAGTAACGTAGAATAAATTACGGTTGTGTTAATTAATTGGACTTTGATTTTGGAATTAACGAACCCAAGATTTCTGTCATTGGAGAGACATAATGCGAGAACTGCAATAGTCGAGACTATATTTGTCTTCCGGTACGAGTCTAGAAGCAAATTGTGTTACTTTTTAGTTAATGGTGTTTCCTAGCTGATTTGACCCCACTGAATCCAAAAATGCATGTTACCAAGTCGATATCTCAACCAGAAACGAGATATTCAAGATGGCGGCCAAAAACTGTGAAACAACATGTTTTTTGATACTTAGGGCGCATGAGCGTGATTAGAAATATACTTATACATTTTTGAAAGCACAGAAATATGAAAAGAGCTTTTGAAATTGGTTAATCGATTGATCCCACATACATTAGGTCAGTGGCGCACTAGGTAAGCGGGGGCTTTGAATAAGATAACCTACCCCAGAACTTGAAATATCTGTTTAAACCATAATTTCGTTAGGTCAAGAGACATTTATTGAAAAATAGTCAAAAACTATGTAACTCATCCCCCCCTTCTGCAACCAACAGGTTTTATGGTGCGCAGCTGTATATTTTTGAAGCTAAGTTCTAGCGTACTTGCTAGCCCTCAGGCGCAGGCCAAAACTTGTTTTTAGACGCCGGGCAATGTGATCGTGAAAGTAACCGGTAGATATTGCCATGTTGTATTGTACTTGTACTTTCTGGTCTTGTGGATCTTAAATTAAAATTTGATATTGTGTGGATAATCCTCAGTCCACTGTAGATTGGTTGATGTGACTTGTAGTTGGGACTTAAGACATAATTAGATGAATTTATTTTACTACTGTGGTCTCTAATATTTATTTATTTATTTATTTATTTATTTATTTATTTATTTATTAGCAATAGTTAACAAAAAAAGTAAAAACAATAAAAATATAACATTAGTTCCCCACTTACGTAGAACTAAAATAAAATAAAATCTACTGCTAACAATTTTGACGCACGATAGTATTAAGAATACTGTGTGTGCGCCACTTTCTTTTATCTTTAGTAACAAATTGAGGTATGTTGAAAACGGAAATGAAAAATAAGAATAAAACTTTTAAGCAAAACAATTAAAAATACAATTAACCAATACACAATTGCCTTTCTCCTTTCTTATATTATGTACTTAATACTAAAACTACTGTCTACTATCCAACTTGTAATTTGCCTTTTCAATTTACAATAAGGTTCTGATTTCAAGTTTTTGGGGTAGTGAGTTGAAAACTTTTGGTCCTACACAGTAAATATGATTTTGGCAGATAGTATGCCTGGGGATGCCTCGTACTAGATTATTTTGAACTACATTTCTAGTATTTATGCCGTGTGTTATATTTTGTCTATAGTCGGTGTTTTTTAACATATACCTTATTACTGATTTGATATACAATTGATTAATATTTAACAAACCACTTTCTTTATAGATTAATTCAGTTGGATATCTTTCATTCCTGAAAAGTATAACTTTTATCAACCACTTTTGTGCAATTAAGAGCTTGGACAGTATTGTAGAACCTACATTTCCCCACACAACTATGCCATAGTTCAGAATAGATTCTATAAGAGAATAATACACTTGTTTAAGTATTTCAAAAGATAAAATGTGTCTTAATTCATAAAATTTATAAATAAGCTTCCTTATTTTATTAGTGACATATTTTATTTGATCCTTCCAAGTGAAAGTTCCATCTATGAACACCCCCAAATATTTGAGGGAAGGGATTCTTTGAACCATTTCAACACAATTACATTGAGTATCCAATTTGCATGAAGCATCATGCAATTTAACACTTTGAAAATCTGGTAATGAGCGCGTAGACAAAGAAAAAGTTATTATTTTAGTTTTATCTATATTGAGTGACAGTAAACTGCCATCTAGCCACCTTTTGATTTTTTTGCAAAGCCTCTTCAGCACTCATTTTCACAGATTCCCAGTTCTCCCCACTAATCACTGCACAAGAATCATCTGCAAAGCAAAAGATATCCTCTCTATCAAGCAAAGACATAAGACCATCTATGTATATATTAAAAAGTAATGTAGAAAGCACTGTACCCTGCGGCACACCCAACTCTACCTCTAGTTTATTGCTCTGAACACCTGATATGTTAGTACTCTGTTTTCTGTTGGTTAAGTATGATTTAACAAGATTCATTGGAACACCTCTGATACCAACCTGCTCTAGACGTTTAAGCAGAATCGAGTGTGCCACAGTGTCAAATGCCTTCCGTAAGTCAAGGAAAATTCCTATAACTTTTTATAATCTTAGCTTAGCAGTCTAGACGAACGAAAATATTTTTAAAAGCACGCCAAAACACGTTCCAATAAAATAAGCTTTGGTGCCATAATATATGCAACAGCACATTGAATTAGAAACGTGAGTTGAAAATCGCATTTTTAAATCAGGAAATAAAAGTCAAAATAGGTAGGTACTAGTTTTGTGTTCAGCGTAAAGCGTAATGTATATTACTAGCTTCCTAGCGCTTTTGGCTTTGAGCCATCATCAGGGCTTAGACTTTGTCGAAAGGCGACACCAAAAAAAACACAAAAACCATCTTTCTCAAAAGCAATAATTCTCTGGACCAGATTATTATTGCTTGTACATTGCTGAATACAAAACTAGTATTTTGACTTTTGTTCCCTGATTGTCAAGCACAGCTTACGACTGAACAGTTTTTATTGTCGCATTTTTAAACTTGACATTACTGTATTGTATTAATTTAACCCGGCAAATTACAGAAACACTGGCTGCGTTTATAACGTGACGTTTCAATGCGATCGAGTCGATCCGATGGATCTGCATCCACTTGTAAATCGCGTTATAAACACTCGCGAATTCGACCAGAAATGGTTCGTACCAACTGTTTGTTTTTCATCTGTCTATAATGAATACGATTGGAAAAAGACAAATTATATCAGCTGGATATCAGGTCAATCGGATCAGCGTTTCCATGAAGATCTTCTATCTGCATCTCAAAAGAAAAAATAGAAAGGATGGGATCAAAGGCAACGGCGAATGCCAAGGAAAAGACTGGAAATCAACATTGGAATCAGCCTCTTTAACAAACGGCTAGAGATGAACCGGTGGACCAGGTCATGTCAGTAGATATGGACCACAAAATAACCAACCCATACAAATTTGATTACATTCTTTGTTCACGAATTGGTGCTGTGGGGGAATCGGGGGATTTAATAGCGGCTGATGCGCTATAACAATAATTATGATATAGATCTTGTATTGTGAAGTACACGCAGGAATTAAAATAAGTTGATAAAAGATGGCGAGGAAAAGGGGGCTCGAAACTCAAACCCCAATTTCAAATATGCAAAGAACTTCGAGTCGCTGCATCTTTGAATAAGATAGGGAAATTTTAAATTTTACTTTAAATTATTACCATAGGGCATGTCCATGTGACGTCACAAATGAGTTTGACAGTCGCCCTGAGGTAAAACAAATCATTTATTTTCATTCGTGTAGATTAGGCCGGTTATGTTTTACGCGGTTTTCACAGGTTTTTTACAAGTTTTGGTGTTATTTTGTTCAAAAAAAGGTTAGAGCGAAGTGTTTGTGTTCCAGTCTATGTGGTGGTTTATCCAAAAGTTTGCTAGGTTTTCCTATAATGGATTAAATTCAGGTTTTTTCCGACAAATATCAAAACCAAGTATCTCAAGAACAAATATATAAGTATAGTTACTCTATATTCAATCTATTTTTCTGTCAGATTTTCTCTTTTACCAAGATTTATCAATTTTTCTCTTCTTTCTTGAGCTAACAAATTCTTCTCATTGTTATTTAAAATTGATGGAAACCTATGGAAGGGTATTGTATCCCTTGCGCTAGACTGCCACAATTAACAACTAAACAAACTCTAGGCATGTCCGAGAAACTTCTGGAGCACACAAAAGGTATTTATTTAAAAAAATCTAACTAAAAACTTGAAAAACACTGTAAATTATATCTTTGTTTTACCTCAAGGCGATTGTCAATAGTGTCAAACTGTCAGATCGTGTACTTGCCCTATTACCAACAATATTCCTATTTCACTTGTAGGTTTTGGAATTGAAGAATGCGTGGAAAAGATACAAGAAACTTGCTAGGGTCATTTATTCCATACCAAACAACAAAGATTAGCTGTTGCCTGGCCTTGATAACGCAAAATGTGGTGAGGAGGCGATTCAAATGCCTGAATTCTGGTATCACTGTGTATTTTTCGGCCTGAAATAAATATAATTTGATGTCGTAATCACGTTTTTAGGCGACTGTCAAAAAAGATTAGTTTTACGGATTCAATATCATCCCTAAAGTATATCTTTTTTGGCCGCATTTACTTTACGGCCGTATTTACTTCACGACCGCATTTGCTTTATTACTTTACGGCCGCTTTTACTTCACGGCCGCTTTAACTTTACGGCCGCTTTTACTTTACGGCCGCTTTTACTTTACGGCCGCTATATACTTTGGTGAAAATATATAGACAATCGAAAACGCGGTCCGTAACTATCAACACAACCAATAAATAGTTAGCAACCACAATGGAACCAAATTTTTGATTTTAGCCCTATTCTATTACTTTTTTAAAAAAGCACAATATAGGATACCATGCGAAAAAGTCGGCAATTTTCTATAATCACACTTCCTTTATTGTCGTTTTTGTTACTAATAATTATGTATCTGCCTATCTTTGCTGGATTATTTATCTAATCAATAAAAAGTTAGAGCTACTGTTGAATTTTCGTCTTTTTTCAAGAACAAACACTCGCCTAAAAAATTCTGTGTGCACCTCGGCCGAATGATCTTTTTTGGCCTCACCCAAAAAAGATCAAATTTACGGCCTTGGTACACAAATAACTATTATAGGTGTTATAAAGCAAAAAATTGGTTAATTTCCAGGTTTCCGACCGCCATCTTGATTATCTCCCGTCTGGTCGCGATTTCGAATTGGTAACAGGCACTTTTGGATTCTGCGGTCCCAGATTACCTAATAAATACCTTTACCTCAAAAGTAGCAGGATTTGCTTCTAGAACCTAATTTTTTCGGTTTATAGTCCTGTCTAGCAACGTGAAATCTGATTGCAGAATAGTGCGCAGACACTAGTGTGAACACTATAGTGAACACTGGGACAGTTAGTCAGTCTAAGCAATCACAATCACCAAAAGAGACTTAACCGATCGTGTAAATTACCCCGGAAGTGACTATATAGCCGATTTTGACTGTGATAGTGAATTTTCAACTAAGTTCTGGAAAATAATCTATTCGGAAATCAAGGGAGATATTGAATTTCTGACTTCGCCGACGTATTTGATGCATCAATCGTCATTCAGAAAAAGAGTTTCGAGGAAATCGAGGAATTTCAGGAACATTCTAGAACATTCTATTTGAAAACTAAGGGAGACATTGAATTTGTGACTTCACCGACATGTTTGCTATATCAATCGACTTTCAGAAAAGAAAATTCTGAAACATTTTATTCATGATAAAGCAAGTTATCCAATTTGTGACTTCACCGTCGTGTTTGGAACTTCAAGCAAAGACCAGGAAAGATATTTGAAGCAAGTTTGAGGGAAATTCTGGAACATTCTATATATGCCTATTACGAGACAACAAAAGTTGAAAAACTTGAAGAAACGCAAAATGTTGGAATTTCAGGAGACCCAAGAAAAACAAGACGAAGAGGCCAGTCGACAAAAATATTAACAAGAAGAAGAAGCTAAACGACAGCAAGAAAAACAAGACGAATAGGCCAGGCGACAAAAATAAAAACTAGAAGAAGAAGATAAGAGACAACAAGAAGAGGCTAGGCGACAACAAGAACGGCAAGAAGACCTTGGGAAACTGCAGGAAATATTTCAAACCATACAAAGAACTGTCGCTAACGTAGAACAAAAGATTCAGGAAGTAAAAGACGATGTTCAAGAAGCTAAAGACGATGTGCAAGAAGTTACCAACGAAGAAAACAACGTTCAGGAAGTAAAAGCTGAGGTCAAAGCCGATGTTCAGCAATTAAGGCAAGAAGTTGAGGACTGAGTTCCAGCACTTGAAGAAAAGATGAATAAATTGAAAATACATTCCATCAATCCAGGTAGTGTTGGAGCATTATCTAGTTGCTCTAGTATGAAGATAAAACCACCAAATTATGACAGTTCTACGTCCTGGACTATGTATATCCGCCAATTTGAAGCTGCTGCAAATACCAACGGATGGAACGATCAAGAAAAAGCAACACCACTGATAGTGGGTGGAAGGTCTTGCCTTAGACCTTCTACAGTCCATTCCTTCAAACTACTAACAGAACAGCGAGAGTTTACAAGAATTCGAATCGGAAGTTAAAAGGCTAGTGAGTTTGGCGCTTCCTGCAGTTGGGCAAGACATACAGAAATGGACCGCAGTATCTGCGTTTATTGATGGTCTCAGAGATTCGAAGATCCAGGTGAACCTGAGAATGTCTAAGTTCAGACAAAGTAGCGAAGCCCTTGTCCGAGCACTGGAACTGGAAGCCATCTTTGGTGCCTCACGACCCAGAATACGAGCAGCGATTGAGAACCCAAACGATAAACAATCGTCCAAAGAGGATGGTAGCTTCGAGAATCTCATGAGTAAGTTCATAGAGAAAATGAAGAAACTAGTACTATTATCTATTCACAATCCGATGTCCAAAGGTAAAGGTAAAATTTATCACCTTTCAGTGGATAGGACAGGAATAGGATATAGAAGTTAGGCGAATGGGAAACGACTCCGAACACTCCAACACCGAGAAAGAAGTCGTATCGCGGTTAGAAAGTAGAGAATTCGTGCTCCCGGGGTGAAAATAAAATCACTAAAATTGAACCAAAATTTCCGCTTTTTCGATTAACATAACTAAACGTAAATTAACGTTGCATTTGGTGAGCGAGGCAATACTTCGAAAGTTGGTTACTAACGTCGGCACGACTCAAATTTGAATGTTTCGAATAAGTGCAAAAAAGGGTCGGCAAATGGTTAATCCGACGTCAATAACCAACGTCGGGTTGTCTGAGGCGACGTGGGGCAAACGTCCAAATGCTATTTGGGAGGCTCATCGAAAGAAACGAGCTCCTCGAAAGAAACGAACTCCTTGAATAAGACCCTAAGTACCTAATAGAAAGAAAACTTGAATAAAACAGTAATCACAAGACTTTTGATTCATATCTTTTCGGTAATCAACGGAACTTTGTCTTACGCATTGAACTAATGCCTGATGGTCGATAAGGTACTTTTTTCCACGCGAGAACGGTAATCACACTTGATGAAGATGGCTGCCCCCAGGCCAGGATCGACCTTTCAGGGCGAACGGCAAAATTTAAAAGGGACGAAAAATAGGACAAGCTGAACAAGCAGAGCTTCCCTAACACTAACATTTAGCATGTTACAAAATACATAATAAAACACCTGAAATTAAAATACAAATATGTACATGTAATGAAGAGAAAAACAAAAACATTCCTTCTTTCACTATGTTGTTAATGCTCATCATTACATGCCTAATATGCTGAATAATTGAAATTTGACCAAAAATCGAATTTGAACCTGGGACTTTTAAATTATCAGTCTGACGCTCTATCAGTTGAACTACCATGGCTTTCGAGTCATTTCTAAAGCATCTGCTAATAATTTTTGTATCAACTTTCAATAATTTCCATTTTCGCAATAGGTTACCCTTTCTCTCAAAAACACTCCGTGCAATCAAGAACCATTACCAAGTTACTCACAAATGACAAAAAAGTCCGTATTTATGTTGACAAAATTAACCAATAGAGCTATGGAACGCAGCATAATGAGAATATAGAAGTCGTGTATGCTGCTAGAACATCTGATGATGGACCAGAAAGATTTTTGAATTTGAGTGCCCCAGCCACAATATAGGTTGATAATATCAGAGGTATCATATTGAACGATGCAAGTGGTACAGAGCACAAATAAGTGGCACCATTTACGAAATTCCTAGGACCTAGTGGACACATAGATTATGACAATGACATTGGAAATTATTTTGATCGCTCTACACCCAACACAAAATGACTAACACTTCATCATCGGACATTGTTACTTTGCTATTTTTCATGTTGTCTATGAAACAGAGGAAGAGAAGTTGTCTAAAGACGCTTCTCTCTCTACATTTATTAACCATTATGATAACTCCCTG